TTACCTCTCAAATAAACAATCTAACCTTACACCTAAAGGAACTAGAGAAAGAAGAACAAACAAAACCCATAGTTAGTACAAGGAAAGAAATTATAAAGATCAGAGCAGAAATAAATAAAATAGAGACTGAAAAACAATAGTAAAGATCAGTGGCATTAAAAACTGTCTGTCTCTTTGAAAAGAAACAAAATTGATAAACCTTTATCCAGACTCAACAGGAAAAAAAAAAAGAGGGCCAAAATCAACAAAATCAGAAATGAAAAAGAAGTTACAAATGGCCATAAGAGACTACTTCAAGCAATTATATGCCAATAAAATGGATAACCTAGAAGAAATGGAAAAATTCTTAGAAATGTACAATCTCCCAAGACTGAACTAGGAAGAAATAGAAAATATGAACAGACCAATTACCAGTAATGAAATTGAATCAGTAATTAAACTCCTAACAAACAAAAGTCCAGGACCAGATACCTTCATAGGTGAATTCTACCAATCATTTAGAGAAGAGGTACCACCTGTCCTTCTGAAACTATTCTAAAAAAAACTGCAGAGGAAGAAACACTTTCAAACTCATTCTCTGAGGCCACCATCACCCTGATACCAAAACCAAAGATGCCACAAAGAAAATTACAGGCCAATATCAGTGATGAATATAGATGCAAAAATCCTCAACAAAATATAAGCAAACTAAATCCAATGATACATTAAAAGGATCATACACCATGATCAGGTGGGATTTATCCCCAGGATGCAAGGATTTTTCAATATCTGCAAGTCAATCAACCTGATATACCACATTATCATGTGGTTTTTATCCTTCAATTTGTTAATCTCAATAGACACAGAAAAAGCTTTTGATAAAATTCACCATCCTTTTATGATAAAAACTCTCCAGGAAGTGGGCATAGAGGGAATATACCTTAAAATAATAAAGGACATATATGACAAACCCACAGCTAACATACTCAACTGTGAAGAGCTAAACACATTCCCTTTAAGATCAGGAATAAGACAATGATGCCCACTCTTGCCACTTTTATTCAAAAGTTTTGGAAGTCCTAGCCATATCAGAGAAGAAAAAGGAATAAAAGGAATCCAAATTGGAAAGGAAGAAGTAAAACTGTCTCTGTTTGCAGATGACATGATACTATATACAGAAAATCCTGAAGATGCTACCAGAAAACTACCAGAGTTCATCAATGAATTCGGTAAAATTACAGGATACAGAATTAATACACAGAAATCTGTTGCATTTCTATACACTAACAATGAAATATCAGAAAGAGTAATTAAGGAAACAATCCCATTTACTATTGCATGAAAAAGAATAAAATACCTAGGAATAAACCTACCTAAGGAGGCAAAAGTCCTGTACTCCAAAAACTATAATATGCTGATGAAAGAAATTGAGAATGACACAAATGGAAAGATATAATGTGTTCTAGGATTGGAAGAATCAATATTGTAAAAATGACCATACTTCCTTCCCAAGGCAGTCTACAGATTCAATACAATCCCTAGCAAATTACCAATGGTATTTTTCACAGAACTAAAACAAAAAAATTTTAAATTTGTGTAGAAACATAAAACCCTGAAATGCCAAAGGAATCTTGAGAAAGAAAAACGGAGCTGGAGGAATCAGGCTCACTGACTACAGACTATACTACAAAGCTATAGTCATCAAAACAATATGGTACTGACACAAAAACAGACACATAGATCAAGGAAGAGGATAGAAAGCCCAGAAATAAACCCATGCAGCTATGGTCAATTAATCTATGACAAAGGAGGCAAGGATATACAATGGAGAAAAGACAGTCTCTTCAATAAGTGGTGCTGGGAAAACTGGACAGATACATGTAAAATAATGAAATTACAACATTCTGTAATACCCTATACAAAAAAAAAAAAACAAAACTCAAAATGGATTAAATGCCTAAGAGTGGATACTATAAAACTCCTAGAGGAAAATATAGGCAGAACACATAAATTGCAGCAATACGTTTTTGTATCCATCTCGTAAAGTGAAATAAATAAAAGCAAAAATAAATGGGACCTAATTAAACTTAAAAGCTTAAAAGCAAAGGGAACCATCAATAAAATGAAAAGACAACCTACAGAACGGGAGAAAATATTTACAAATGATGTGATTGACAAGGGGTTAATTTCTAAAATATACAAATAGCTTATACCACTCAATGTTGAAACAAAACCAAATACCCCAATTTAAAAAAATGAACAGAAGACCTAAATAGACATTTCTCCACAGAAAACATACAGATGGCCAAAAAGCACATGAAAAGATGCTCAACATTGCTAATTATTAGAGATAATTAGATATCACCTCACACTGGTCAGAATAGTCGTCATCAAAAAGTCTACAAATAGGGACTTCCCTGGTGGCACAGTGGTTAAGAATCCACCTGCTAACGCAGGGGACATGGGTTTGATCCCTAGTCCGGGAAGATCCCACATGCCGTGGAGAAATTAAGCCCATGTGCCACAACTACTGAGCCTGCATGCCACAACTACTGGAGCCCATGCTCTGCAACAAGAGGAGCCACCACAGTGAGCAGCCCATGCACCGCAACAAAGAGTAGCTCCCAGTCACTGCAACTAGAGAAAGCCTGCGCACACGGCAATGAAGACCCAACACAGCCAAAGCAAATTTAAAAAAAAGGTCTACAAATAGTAAATGCTGGAGAGGGTGTGGAGAAAAGGGAACCCTCCTATGCTGTAGGTTGGAATGTAAATTGGTAGAGCCACTATGGAGAACAGTCTGGAGGTTCCTTAAAAATGTAAAAACAGTTACCATATGATCCAGCAATCCCACTTCTGGGTATATATCTGGACAAGATGAAAACTCCGGCTGGAAAAGATACAAGCGCCCCTATGTTCATAGCAGCACTATTCACAATAGCCAAGACATGGAAGCCACCTAAATGTCCATAGACAGATGAATGGATAAAGAATACATGATACACAGACACACACACACACATACAATATACAATGGACTACTACTCAGCCATAAAAAAGAATGAAATAATGCCATTTGCACCAACATGGATGGACCCAGGGATTATCATACTAAGTGAAGTAAGTCAGACAGAAAGACAAATATCACACGATATCACTTATACATGGATTCTAAAAATATGATACAAATGAACTTATTTATAAAACAAATAGGCTCACAGAGAAAACAAGCTTATGGTTACCACAGGGGATAGCAGGGCTGGGGGAGATAAATTAGGAGTTTGGGATTAACAGATACATGCTACTATGTGTAAAATAAACAACAAGGAACTACTGTATGGCACAGGAAACTATATTCAATATCTTGTAATACCTATAATGGAATAGAATCTGAAATATACATATATATAAATAACTGAAATACTTTGCTGTACATCTGAAACACTGTAAGTCAACTGTACTTCAATTTAAAACAAAACATTCGGGAAACAGAACCAACTCTCAGTTAGGTGGGACGTGGTCACTCAGTGCCTTACACAGTAATATTTCAACTATGACACTCTGGCTTATTAATCTCTAATAAAAACTTTGTAGTCATCATTCTCAAAAAATGCTCTTTATTCATTCACATATTATTGCATTTAATGCTCACTTCATACCCATGAACAGAGGAAGCAGAAAGATAATTCCTTCACAGATGAAGAGTTTGAGATCCATAACAAAGTCCTTCTTCCCAATTAACAGCGAGTGAACAGAAGATCAAAAACCAGGTCTTTCAGCTCTCCAACTTTACCCTTCTTTCTTGAAGACAGTGTTCAGCCCTCATTTTCACATGTTTATTGTTATTAAAAATATCTTTAGCAACAAACTTAAAGTATAACCAAAAATCCATACTTTAAAATGTAAATAAATTATATTTACATATAATTTTTCACATTAACTCATTCAAACTGTAACTGTTATATTACAGGTGTTGGTTGAAACATCTAAGCATCTTAGCATTTTGTCTTCATATCATGCAAACTAAGTCCTAACCACTTTTGACCACTACTGATACCAGGAGACATTCCACCAGTAATTATTCAATTGGAAAATTTCATTGAAACAATCTGAATAAATCATTTTTGCTGCAAGATTACATCCACTAAAATGTCATGAAAACGAGTGGGTAAGTAATAAACAAATTTGCAAATTGTGTTAAAGGTCAGGCCCACTATTAACATGGACTAAATCAATCTCAATAAAAGACATTTTTAAAATAAAAAAATAATTCAAGTGGCCCAAATACAGACACTTTGCTACTATGATTAATTACATGAAAATCTGTATTAGGATTGGTAAAAGCAGCATGTGGAAGAAGAAATAAGGTACAAGACCTAGGAAAACTACTCGAAAGGAACAAGGCTAAGATGGTCACTCAGAGAATGGGCAGTATTTCCTTCTGCTGGGGCAGGTGAAAAGGAGAACCAGTGTGTGTCTGTGTCATGATTATTCAAGTCTACACCTCATCCCACGAAGTGTAGCTTGGGCTGCAGTTCACAGAATAAACAAATTGTGACTAGCACAATTTTTTTGTTTTTACATCTTTATTGGAGTATAATTGCTTTACAGTGGTGTGTTAGTTTCTGCTTTATAAAAAAGTGAATCAGTTATACATATGCACATGTTCCCATATCTCTTCCCTCTTGCGTCTCCCTCCCTCCCACTCCTCTAGGTGGTCACAAAGCACTGAGCTGATCTCCCTGTGCTATGCGGCTGCTTCCCACTAGCTATTTTACGTTTGGTAGTGTATGTATGTCCATGCCACTCTCTTGCTTTGTCACAGCTTACCCTTCCCCCTCCCCATACCCTCAAGTCCATTCTCTAGTAGATCTGTGTCTTTATTCCCGTCTTACCCCTCGGTTCTTCATGACATTTTTTTTTCTTAAATTCCATATATATGTGTTAGCATACGGCATTTGTCTTTCTCTTTCTGACTTACTTCACTCTGTATGACAAACTCTAGGTCCATCCACCTCATTACAAACAGCTCAATTTCGTTTCTTTTTATGGTTGAGTAATATTCCATTGTATATATGTGCCACATATTCTTTATCCATTCATCCAATGATGGACACTTAGGACAATTTTGATATAACACCATTCTTAAGAATATATTATATTTTATCAATCTTTTTCTCACATGCACAAACACACACACAGTCATAGAGGTAATTCTGAAACAAAGAGAAAATCAGAACTCACAGTTTACCACAAATGCACACCGTCCAACTCAGAAACTCAGGTGCTCCAGAATCCATAGAAGGCATGAAAATGGTGCTCAAAGAGCACCATTTTCAGCTCTGGTTTTTGCTTTTTTGAATGGTGACCCTAATATCCTTTTCCAGTTCCAGTAAGTTTTGGTAAAATTTTTCAGCAGTGTCTTCATCCAGGTCTATCTGGAAAAGAAACAAAGATAGGGATGACTACGAAGGAAAAATGAAATGAATAGTATTTGAATAAAAGGGAGCCATTTAAATAACACAGGTAAGAGAACCCAAAATAGGGCCAGTTGGAATGGGCTGTGGTGGCAGCCATGTGGGGAATGTTAGGAATCCTGAGGACACATTAACTCTCCATCCAAACTCCAACACTCACCAAACCTACTGATGCTTCCCTTAAATAGCAAGACTGAAAGATCTGGGCTTTGCTGTCTCCCCTAACTGCTGTGTACCTAGTAACAGAAGACACCAAACATCTGTGATATAAAAAAGGCCAAGAGAGGAAAATCAAGAAATTTTTTTTTAAATTCCTACTGCTACTTACTTCCTAATATCCACATTCTTTAGTAAAAGAGCCCTGATCTTAGCTGAGCTCACTGCCCTGCAGATGAAAGACTACATTTCCAGCCTACACTGAAGTTAGTGGTACCAGGTGACCATGTTCTGGCCAATGAGATGTAAGTGGAAGTGTTGTACGGTACCTATCCAGGACTCTCTTTAAAAGGAATGGGGCACCCTTTTCTTTCTCCCTTCTTCCATGCTGCTCCCCTGAGCTATAAGGATGAGGGCCACACCTCAGGGATGACAGAAGGTACCTGGGCACCTGACAATTTGCAGAGCTGCCAGGCCAGCCTAAGGTTGCCTCTCCAAACTGCTTTACATGCGAGAAACCTAAGCTTTTATCTTGTTTAATCCACTATTATTTTACACTCTTCTGTTTTATGTAGAAAATCTAATTTTAACTTACACACTGTACATAAAAGCAAACTTTCAGCCTCTATAAAGTGTTTGTTATCTCTTTCCAAGTCAACACAGAGCCTAAACTTAAAAAAAAAGCCTCTTTCTTCATGAAGCTAAAAGGCTAAAAAATAAAAGAAAACTTTATAACATTTTGGAAAAAATATTTCTATTCGTTCAATCATATTAGTGTTTTTTCATGTTGTAACTGGAAAAGACATTATAGCTCTCTTTAGTTCAACCCAACTTTTAAACAGAGCAGAGAGCTGACTTCCCAAAATTAATTAAAGGTTAAAACATATTCTGCAGTGCTGGGAAAACGGCAGAAGAGTAAGACGTGGAGATCACCTACCTCCCCACAGATACACCAGAAATACATCTACACGTGGAACAACTCCTACAGAACACCTACTGAATGCTGGCAGAAGACCTCAGACCTCCCAAAAGGCAAGAAACTCCCCACGTACCTGGGTAGGGCAAAAGAAAAAAAAGAAAAAACAGAGACAAAAGAATAGGGACGGCACCTGCACCAGTGGGAGGGAGCTGTGAAGGAGGAAAGGTTTCCACACACTAGGAAGCCCCTTTGCGGGCGGAGACTGCGGGAGGCAGAGGGGGAGCTTCGGAGCTGCGGAGGAGAGCACAGCAACAGGGGTGCGGAGGGCAAAGTGGGGAGATTCCCGCACAGAGGATAGGTGCTGACCAGCACTCACCAGCCCGAAAGGCTTGTCTGCTCACCCGCTGGGGTGGGCGGGGCCGCAAGCTGAGGCTCAGGCTTCGGTCGGAGCACAGGAAGAGGACTGGGGTTGGCAGCGTGAACACAGCCTGAAGGGGTTAGTGCACCACGGCTAGCCGGGAGGGAGTCTGGGAAAAGTCTGCACCTGCCGAAGAGGCAAGAAACTTTTCCTTCCCTCTTTGTTTCCTGGTGCGCGAGGAGAGGGGTTTAAGAGCGCTGCTTAAAGGAGCTCCAGAGACTGGCGCGAGCCGCGGCCAACAGCGTGGACCCCAGAGACGGGGGGGAGACGCTAAGGCTGCTGCTGCCGCCACCAAGGGGCCTGTGTGCGAGCACAGGTCACTATCAACACCCCTCTTCCGCGGAGCCTGTGCAGACCACCACTGCCAGGTTCCCGGGATCCAGGGACAACTTCCCCAGGAGAACGCACGGCGGGCCTCAAGCTGGTGCAACGTCACGCCGGCCTCTGCCGCTGCAGGCCCACCTCGCACTCCGTGCCCCTCCCTCCCCCCGGCCTGAGTACGCCAGAGCCCCCGAATCAGTGGCTCCTTTAACCCCGTCCTGTCTGAGCAAAAAACAGACGCCCTGCAGTGACCTACACGCAGAGGTGGGGCCAAATCCAAAGCTGAGCCCCTGGGAGCTGTGAGAACAAAGAAGAGAAAGGGAAATCTCTCCCAGCAGCCTCAGAAACAGCGGATTAAAGCTCCACAATCAACTTGATGTACCCTGCATCTGTGGAATACATGAATAGACAACGAATCATCCCAAATTGAGGAGGTGAGCTTCGAGGGCAACATCTATGATTTTTTCCCCTTTTCCTCTTTTTGTGAATGTGTATGTGTATGCTTCTGTGTGAGATCTTGTCTGTATAGCTTTGCTTCCACCATTTGTCCTAGGGTTCTATCCGTCCTTGGTTTTTAATTTTTTTCTTAATAATTAATTTTAATTTTAATAACTTTATTATACTTTACCTTCTTTCTTTCCTTCTTCCTTCCTTCCTTCCCTCCTTTCTTTCTTTATTTCTTCATACTTCTACTAATTCTCTCTACTTTTTCTCCCTTTTATTCTGAGCCATGTGGATGAAAGGCTCTTGGTGCTCCAGCCAGGAGTCAGGGCTCTGCCTCTGAGGTGGGAGAGCCAACTTCAGGACACTGGTCAACAAGAGTCCTCCCAGCTCCACGTAATATCAAATGGCGAAAATCTCCCGGAGACCTCCATCTTAACACCAGCACCCAGCTTCACTCAACGACCAGCAAGCTACAGTGCTGGACAACCTATGCCAAACAACTAGCAAAACAGGAACACAACCCCAGCCATTAGCAGAGAGGCTGCCTAAAATCATAAGGCGGCAGACACCCCAAAACACACCACCAGACGTGGACCGGCCCACTAGAGAGACAAGATCCAGCCTCATCCACCACAACACAGGCACTAGTCCCCTCCACCAGGAAGCCTACACAACCCACTGAACCAACCTTAGCCACTGGAGACACACATCAAAAACAACGGGAACTATGAACCTGCAGCCTGCAAAAAGAAGACCCCAAACACAGTAAGATAAGCAAAATGAGAAGACAGAAAAACACAGCAGATGAAGAAGCAAGATAAAAATGCACCAGACCTAACAAATGAAGAGGAAATAGGCAGTTTACCTGAAAAAGAATTCAGAATAATGATAGTAAAGATGATGCAAAATCTTGGAAATAGAATGGACAAAATGCAAGAAACATTTAACAAGAACCTAGAAGAAATAAAGATGAAACAAGCAACGATGAACAACACAATAAATGAACTTAAAAATACTCTAGATGGGATCAATAGCAGAAAAACTGAGGCAGAAGAATGGATCCGTGATCTGGAAGATAAAATAGTGGAAATAACTACTGAAGAGCAGAATAAAGAAAAAAGAATGAAAAGAACTGAGGACAGTCTCAGAGACCTCTGGGACAACATTAAATGCACCAACATTCGAATTATAGGGGTTTCAGAAGAAGAAGAGAAAAGGAAAGGGACTGAGAAAATATTTGAAGAGATTATACTTGAAAACTTCCCTAATATGGGAAAGGAAATAGTTAATCACGTCCAGGAAGCACAGAGAGCCCCATACAGGATAAACCCAAGGAGAAAAACGCCAAGACACATATTAATCAAACTGTCAAAAATTAAATACAAAGAAAGCATATTAAAAGCAGCAAGGGAAAAACAACAAATAACACATAAGGGAATCCCCATAAGGTTAACAGCTGATCTCTCAGCAGAAACTCTGCAAGTCAGAAGGGAGTGGCAGGACATACTAAAAGTGATGAAGGAGAAAAACGTCCAACCAAGACTACTCTACCCAGCAAGGATCTCATTCAGATTTGATGGAGAAATTAAAACCTTTACAGACAAGCAAAAGCTGAGAGAGTTCAGCACCACCAAACCAGCTTTACAACAAATGCTAAAGGATCTTCTCTAGGCAAGAAACAGAAGAGAAGGAAAAGACCTATAATAACGAACCCAAAACAATTTAGAAAATGGGAATAGGAACATACATATTGATAATTACCTTAAATGTAAATGGACTAAATGCTCCCACTAAAAGACACAGATTAGCTGAATGGATACAAAAACAAGACCCTTATATATGCTGTCTACAAGAGACCCACTTCAGACC